GTTCAGCAGTTGGTTAAATAACAATGCCAGGCAGCGTGGGGACAACAGCATCTTTCCGTCTGAAGAGTCTTGCTCTCCGCTGCCATTCCACATGCGCTCTGCTCTGTAGCCCGATCACGTGCCCTGAGCTTTGGAGTGGGTTCTGCACACTAGATGCTTGTTGCAAAGGCCGACATCAATGTCTTCTGTTGGATCGAACTCTGGAACACACCCACAGCCTTGCATTGCATCTCCAACCATCTCACTATAAAATAACAGGCCCTCACTAGCTGTCATTGGGGACCAATGTGTACCTCCGTCATAAATGGAGCCTCATCCAATCTCAGGGAGGGTCTCCTAGGGCTGAGTTGCCTTCTCCCGAGTCCTGAGAAGTAACCACGCCTGAGTGCCTACTGTAGAGAGCTCCCCCCTTAGGAAGTGGCTGATGTCTCTGTTGGACAGCTCTGCTTCTGAAAACATAATTTCTCAAGAAGACACAGATGTCTGTGAATCAGACGCAGACGTTTGAGATGAAGCCAACTCTGAAATCTTTCTCTTTTTAACAGAGCCTGTCCCCGCGGTAACCACACCTAGAATGCAAATTGCCGTGGGTGAGAGGATCCCAGCTATAGGCTCCCCACACTGTGATAGAGAAACAGACATTTATATAAGTGGATAAGAGAACTAAGACAGGTTCAGCCACCAGATTCATTAGTCCTGTCATAAAAAACTAGAGAAATGTGTATGGCCTCCAAATAAACAAAAAAAAAAATTAGGTGGTCTGGGAGGGTTTTAGTTTAGTTGTAAATCTGGTTATAGTCACAGAAGCATATGAGTTTGTAAGCTTGCCCGAATAAATCTATAAGGTCACACACCTCATTAACAACTGTGAAAAAGACACTATGAGATGTTGATTGCCTAGATCTTAATTGTACTTATCTGTGATATAATGAACTAAGGAAGCTTTAGTTTAGACAAAAACAAGTTATGATTGATGATAGAAAAGTAAACACAGTCTGTTGTGAATTTATAAAAATGATGCAGTTTATCAACCCAATCCCAAGTTAGATTTTGCACCCGTGTGTGCATGCATGAATGAGCATGCATTTGTAAATTAATACCTCAAAAAGTGGGAATTGGGGAAGGCTGGAGAAGGAAGTGTAAAGGGAGGTTTTTACCTTCTGAAGCATCCTTTTTCACTCAGAACTATCCAGTATTGATTAAGAAATCAGACCCCAAAGCACACAGAACTTGTAGTTCACGTAGCTCACTGAGATAAAATGTTGGATTACGAAGGTATTCACTATGAAATGTGTACATCATGATACTTGGAAGACGCAGATACTATCCACCCCAGGTGTAGCACCTGCCCGTAAAAGGCACCTCATCAACATTCATTGACCAGCTGACTGACTGGCGGAGGGAAAACTGCTTCACCAATTTTCATTTTTTACCCCAAAAGCACTAGATTTTTTTCTTTCTTTTTAACCCAGGCTTCATCTTTACTGCAGGAATTGCCATACAGGCAGATGAAAAGAGGAGCACGGGCCTTTTGTTCCTCCTGGCTCTCCAAATACTCCCTCTGACTCAAGGGCAACCTTGTCACTGGCTGTGTTCCATTCCCACCTTTGTCCTAAGGTCACGGTCTGATTAGGCTGGGGCTCTATTGCAAGCAGTAGATAATAACAACTGATCATTTGCAGCAGCTATTTAAAAACATATTTTCATTTTTGTTGTCAATTCTTGACACTTTTTTAAAAAAAAATTATTTATTTTAATTTGACCAGAGAGGGGGAGAGAGAGAGAGAGGGGAGAAAGAAAGTGAGAAAGCAAGCTGCCATGTCCAGGACTCAAACTAGAGTTGGTCATGTGGGAGTCCAGTGTCCTTAACCACCATGCCACCTGCTGACCCCAATCTTTGACACTTCTAAGATTAGAGTTTCTCCGGCCAAGTGGTGAGACAGCTAGACCCCCAAGGGGAAGGTGTGGGTTTGTGTCCGGAGGCCTCCCTGAGCGTGTGTCCCTGTGATCCAGGGCTGCTAAGATGGGGTGGATCACAACATGGACACACTTTGGGGAGTCTCTCTCTCTCTCAGAAGAAATAGATAATTAAACTTAAAAGAAGAGAAAAATGAAGATTAGGGCTTGCAATGGCTGGTTATCTGTGCCGGGAGGACAAGCTCCTCTCTGTGGGGGCAGAGAGCTCTGTCCACCATCTCTGTTTTTCTCAAGGTGGTCAGGTAGCAGAGCGAGTCTCGCTCCAGTCCTCATCTCTTGTGCAAGCTGATGGAGAACATGCAGCCCATGGGAGGAGGGCAGAGACAGTGTCCCCTGTCCTTGCTCAGCCTGTGCCCCTACCCTCGCTGGAGGGCAGATTCTGAAACATCAGGGGCTTCTCTTTCTACCCCCTGAACGTTACATAGGACCTTTAAGAATAGAGCCATGCATATCCTCATGCCAAAAATTAGTGTTTCACCTTAAGGAGATCACCTCAAAAGTCTGGACACATGTTCCAAGTATGTTGTCATTGCTAAGAATATTTTTAGTACATCTCTTTTGGGGTTGTTTTTAAAAGCTAAGACACATTCTTTCCTAAGTGTTGTTGGAAGCCTGTCATCGTCCCTTGAGGGTGGATTTCTTTTTTTTCTTTTTGGAGCAAGCCAGAGCCACTGGGATCATGTCTGGTGAATAACATGGGTACTCAATTTGAGGTTTAAAATGATGTGTCTCTGTACAGATTAGGTTTTTTCTTGTGTGTTTCCTTACTTGTTACAAATGACTTGAGCAATAACAGGCATGATTCACTCAGTAACTTAAATATATTGGGTAGATACCAGGATAAAGAGTGTAGGCTATTTTTTCATTTATTTTTTTAAGAGGTTTTTGCTATAGGGCATGTGCACTCACCAGAAAAACAGAGAAAGACAGAGAGATAGAAAGCGAGAAATCACCCCCCCAGGGGGATGGCCACACCACAATCCCTTCTCTTCCATTCTCTTCTTGGGATCTTGGGCACATTGTTGGGCACGCATGCACACATGCCCGGCGTGAGTTTAAGCCTCCGGGTCCGGGACTCTAACTGCGGTTGACTACATGAGAGTTCAGCGACCTAGCCATTACACTAACTGCTGGTCCGAGGAGAGTAGACTACTTTGATGGGTGACATTATTTGGATACATAACATTTAACATGTTCATTTTAAAGTAACCATTTTGCTCTATCTGTAGACATGGTGAGCAGAGATATTGGGAGTGTACAGAAAATGCTCTTGTACCTAGAACCTTGGGATCCCAGAGCTGGGAGTAACAGCCTCTGGTGACACCTGGACAGCTCACCTCCAGTGTGGAACCTTCTCTGCTCCCTCCACTGTGGGTTCCACTTCACTCTGTGGGGGAAGAGTATCGGGCAGTGAAAAAAAAAAAAAAGTCAAGGTTACCTCCCCTCATACCCCTAATTTCTTACCTGGAAAAGGAGGGGTCGTCCTGATAACCTTTGAAAGCATTTACGCTCAGTTACTTTGGCAAAGGCCAGCGGGGCTTTGCCACCATAGTAGTTCTGGGCTTTGGGTTCCTCCCTCTTTTGTTGTATGATTGGCAGCTTCTGCCTCTCTCAGATTCTGGCCTCATGGGGACGTTTCTCATTCCCTTCTCCCATAACTCCTACTCAAAGGCGCAGACACACTACTGTGCCATCCTTTCCCATTAGTTTTTAACTTTCCATCTCATTCTCTTTTTCTGCCTTGGTTTCTTTATCTCCCCTTTTCTGTTTTTCTCCATCCCACTAACTCAAACACCTTTCTTTCTTTTTATTTTTTTTTGGAGAGGTTTTCGCTATAGGGCGCGTGTGCTCGCCAGACAGACAGAGAGAGACATAGAGACAGAAAGCGAGAAATCACCCCCCAGGGGGGATGGTCACGCCACAATCCCTTCTCCTCCATTCTCCTCTCGGGATCTTGGGCACGCACGCACACACGCCCAGCGTGAGTTTTAAGCCACCAGGTCCAGGACGTGAACCGCGGTCGACTACGTGGGAATCCAGCGACATAGCCATTACGCTAACTGCTGGTTCCCCTCAAACACCTTTTTGAGAGAAGAGGAGGTGGAGAAAGAATGAACGAGTAGCCTCTTCTCTCCCTGCCCCATCAGTTCTGACCCACGTGTGGCATCTTCTGGTCAGTTGTCGCCCACCCACAGCAATCCTTGGCCCTGTCATGCCTCCTACCCAGTCTCCACTCGTTCTTTCCATTGCTCAGGGTCTGGCCTCGTCAGTTCCGTGCTTGAGACTAGGAACGAGAGTCTTACTCCTTTTGAATGTTTCATTGTGTGACTCACCCCGACGTCTCATTCACAGACTTCTTGAACCTCCATAAAGCACGACTGTCCCAGTAGGCACCGCCCCTCACTCAGCCTTGGAGGTCAAGCATCACATGACCTAGAGTCAATTCTGTGTCCCTTTTTCGCTATAGGGCGCGTGTGCTCGCCAGACAGACAGAGAGAGACATAGAGACAGAAAGCGAGAAATCACCCCCCAGGGGGGATGGTCACGCCACAATCCCTTCTCCTCCATTCTCCTCTCGGGATCTTGGGCACGCACGCACACACGCCCAGCGTGAGTTTTAAGCCACCAGGTCCAGGACGTGAACCGCGGTCGACTACGTGGGAATCCAGCGACATAGCCATTACGCTAACTGCTGGTTCCCCTCAAACACCTTTTTGAGAGAAGAGGAGGTGGAGAAAGAATGAACGAGTAGCCTCTTCTCTCCCTGCCCCATCAGTTCTGACCCACGTGTGGCATCTTCTGGTCAGTTGTCGCCCACCCACAGCAATCCTTGGCCCTGTCATGCCTCCTACCCAGTCTCCACTCGTTCTTTCCATTGCTCAGGGTCTGGCCTCGTCAGTTCCGTGCTTGAGACTAGGAACGAGAGTCTTACTCCTTTTGAATGTTTCATTGTGTGACTCACCCCGACGTCTCATTCACAGACTTCTTGAACCTCCATAAAGCACGACTGTCCCAGTAGGCACCGCCCCTCACTCAGCCTTGGAGGTCAAGCATCACATGACCTAGAGTCAATTCTGTGTCCCTCTTGAGGAGCACGGGTTGCTTCCCACAGCTGCTGCCGTCTCCCTAGAGTCACTCTGGAATCCAGCACTGATCCTGATCATTCTGCAGGTCCGCACGGGGCACAGAGCATTGTCTAGACCCACTCAGCACTGATTGCACCTACGAGTGATCAATGCCAGGCTAGAGCCTCCTGTGTAAGTGGAAGCTCCTAGCATCAACGTTGTGGGACCGGGACATACATCAGGAGCATTTCAGGGGTGAGGTTTTGTTCTTAGACATTGGCCAGTCTACTGAGATCTGTGCAATAGGAAGCGGCTGTGTCTGAGCAGAGAGAGATGATGCTGTATTTCCAGAAGGAAAGTGTCATGCAGAGGAGGGAGAAAGGCAGCAAAGTTCTAGAAAAGAGCTTCTGGCTTTATCTAACACAAGCAAACACTCTCAAGGTCTTTCTAGAAGTCTAACTTGTTTCCTCCTCAGGAACTGAAAGTGTTTCTGCCCAAATGTAAGATAGTTTAGGGAATTTGGTTTATTGTATCATCCATGCATTCTAAGCCACAATATTTAATTTGTTGTCTCTTCTTACTATATTTTTGATCGCATGATGATTAAAAAAAGAGAGAGTTCCTGGGCCAGCAGATGGTGTGGAAGTTAAGGCTCTGGATCATACATGGCCAACTGTGTGGTTGAAGTCCCAGATTCAGCCACTTGAAAATCATGCCAGGTACATGCACATGCATGTTCACAGTCCTGAGAGGAGATTGGAGGAGAAGGGATTATGGGGTGGCCAGTTCCCAAGGGGGTGATTTCTCATTTTCTCTCTGTCTCTCTTTGTTGGGTGCATGTACCCTACAGTAAAAATTACAAAATACATAAGTAAGTAAATAAATAAATAAATAAATAAACAAAAAACCTCCCTTCATCTGATCCTCTGGAAAATTAAAAATATCAGTTGCTTTATACGACAAATAGTTCTGTTTTGTAGACATTAGTTGATTAGATTCTCTTTCTTCTGTAAATAACTACAAGTAATTTTATTGGCATAAATGTTTTATATTTTAAGTACATTTGTAAATTAATTATATATGTATATAAAGAAAACCAAATCAATGGCATAAACATGATCACTTCATCATAATTGTCTCTGTTACTGTTCTTTTTCTACGACCAGTGAAACTTTTTGTTAATGAGGTGCCATTGCAACATCACAAAGCTTCACAAGGCCCAGAGGTGTGCTATGCTAGGCCATCCTTATCTGACAAGGCTCTTGATGAGGAGCGAGGGCATGTGAGGAAGTGGAATCCGCATTCTCTGACCTGGCAACATGGCGTGATAATGACTGAAATGACAACATGCCTTTCATTTTGTAAGTCGATTTTTTTAGTTAGTTTGTTTGTTTTTTCAGATTCTTTCTCTCAACTCAGCCTCAGTTCATCTCGTGTTTCTGTCACTTCATGCTACTTCTCTACCCCCAAAAGCCCACTCGGAGGCTTCCTGATCTAGCCCCGGATGGGAGAAGAGTACCTGCACCTTCTCCCTTGCAAAGCTTCTTTAGTTCATGTACACTGACGGCACGAGGCAGCCAGAAACCAAGGGTACGAATAGGCCATCTCATCTCAGGAGGATAAAAACAGGGTTGGCTATGCTCACTTTCTACCTAGTCTTTCCTCCTTTCTAGTTAAAGATTTTTAAGGGCGAGTCTAGCAGGAAACATACTGGTTAAGGTGCCGGACTCCCACATGGCTGACCGCAGTTCAAGTCCGGACCTGGCAATTTAAAAATTATACCAGGCATGTGTGCATGCATACCCCAAATCCCAGGAGAATGAAGAAGAAGGAATTGTGGTGTGGTCATCCCCCGGCCCCCTAGAGGGTGATTTCTCACTTCCCTCTCCCTGTCTCCCTCTGTTTCTCTCCAGCAAGTGCATGTGCCCTATGGCAAAAACCTTAAATGAATAATAAAAAATAAAAGGATTTTTTTTGAAGGGTGTGAATGTTCTTATGTGCTTCTCTCATTGGGTTTGGGAATTGGAGAGAAACGTCCTCGGCAAAAGTTTGTACATCATTTGTTTTTGCCAAGGCATGTGTGCAAGAAGGACCAGGTGTCTGAACTGCAGATATTCTCATGACTTGGAAATTTATTCTCTTTTCACTTTCTGTGAGCATCATGGAATCACCTCCATGTTTTATTTGACAGTTCTCAGAGAGAGCAGAGCTTCCAGCTTAGGAAATGGTATACTTTTAGGTCCTAGCTTTACACACACACACCAGTGGACCTAATTTTGCAAGCTAGTCATCGGTGACTTGAACCCATTGTCATGGTGAGTGGCGTTTACACTAGAGAGAAAGAGCCTGCCACCTGGGGAAAGGGCTGCTCCTTAATTTTTGCTCTTTGCCAGTTTGATGCTATCAGTGTTTCCTAATATTGGGACAATCCCCTCACCTCAAAGCATCCCTGTATAATTGTGTCACATAATAGGAAATTGTAATAGGTAATTTGGTTCTGTAATTCAGTTTGCAAAGCATGCAAACATAAGATAACCAGGTTAGATGCAAATAGGCATTACACTAAGGTACGGAAAACAAGAAGAAAAAAAAGATGCTGTGTCCATAACTTAGAAACAACATAAATTCTATTCCTGTGTGCCTCCAAATGGAGAGTTTACTCAACTTACTTATCCTCTCATTTAATTTAATCATACTGTCCATACAGATGTATTTATTATCTGTGTATAAAAACACATGTTTCTAGCTGCATATATTTATAAATCTGTTATTTGTAATATAAGCAGGCTCCAAGGATAGCAGGCTCTTTAGGAGTAAGTTGGATGTACTCATTTTCATAATGTGCAGTGGTTTAATAAAAGACCCATTATATAAAAGACAGCATCTTAACATGTGCTTTAAGGTTTTCAAAGCCTTTTTATTCTGATTTGTAACTTTTTCCTTTGCACCAATTCATTCATTATTTAGAGGTCTGGCTTTCTGTTTTTAAAGTATTCTCTTGAACAATGACCAGTAGCTATGCTATGGTCAGATGTGTACAGTTTAATTAAATAAACAGTAATACCTTAATGATTTCAATCATTTTAAGGTATTTATTATGTTTCTCATTTTTATGCAGTTTTTTTTTTTTACAGTCTATTGTGGGCCTGAGTGTGATTCAAAAAGATTTATAAATCTTAAGATTTCAAGACAATGCAATATTTTCTGTTCATGCTATAAAAAAAACATTTCTGTATTTTTAATAAAGAATGGAATTTATACGAGCCTACATACAGCTATCTGATCGACTTCTTTATGTTCATTATTCCCATAGGAAGATAGCAAGAAAAAGCCTTTCCAAGGGAGCTCCTTGGACAGCCAAAGACACACAGGCCTGACTTGCTGCTTCCAGGGAGTCCCCTCTTATCCAGCATGATGCCTGCTGCAGCTCAGGGCAACCAGCCCAGGCCCCACTGGCTCTGGAGTGACCTCTCAAAGGAGCCCAGGTTCTCTGTGGAGCACTTTGTCTGTCTCCCTGAGCTTCCTATTCCAGCCTGTGACCACAGAGGGGCAGCCTGGATCAGGGAAGGAATGTGAGATTTGATTAGAGCCCCCAGGGGACTGACCGTCCTGGGTCTTGGGCTAGTCTCTCCTCTGGTGTGTCCCGAAGAGTCTTATCAGAAATCAGAGACAGGATGGCCTGCCCCCTCCCACCCCCCTGTAGTATGGCGCAAGTCAAAGCCCCTCAGACAGTGTACATCAGATCTGGAATCCTATTCCGTGTTGTCTGCTTCTATCGGATGGTTGTGTCTCTAGCTGTGAATCTAGTCATGATTGCTCCTGGTTTTTGAGCCAGCCCTAATCCTCACCTGCCAGGTTCCTACTCAGAGGTCCCTATCCTGTCCCCACGGCTTAGCAATGATCCTTGACAGAAGTATCAATGACAACAATTCAGTGGGTGGAGGCAAAATCCTCCCAAGTCACCTTTCTCCACAGCAGGGGAAAGACAGCAAGGAGGGCCTGGGGACAGCTCTAGGGAAAGCTGGGTGCGCCCCACGAAGGCCTTCTCCCTATTCCCCCTTGGTTTATGAAAGCTTAATAGACTTGGTGACTTTAGTGGAATTGTTTCTGTACTTCTCTTTGCATTAATATTTAATTCTTTTGACCTTCTCTTATAATGGTAAAATGGTAGCTAACGTTTATGAGATTCATTGTATTTCTACCAATAAAATAGTAAAACAGCTTAATTTCGGGAAAAAAAAATTAGACTCTGGAAATACTAACCTTGCTACTCGCCCTGCCTCAGACAAAACATTCACAAGCTTGCATGTCGCCTTTCTCTTCCAGTGCGGGTTCAACCTGGGTGGCTGGTCTTATATGTCCATGAAGGCCTGGAACCAACACAAGAAAACCCACTTGCAGGGAGACTGCCTACAGCTGCTCACACTCACAGAGGTTTAAGGATCCCTTTCTGAGCCTGTGTTCCTTCAAAAGATGCAAACTCCAAAAGTCCAGCTTGTACTGCTAATTGTTCCTCATAGTTGTACAATTCCTAACTATAAAAGATCCAAGTGAAGAAGAAATCTTGATGTCAACGTTGCATTTTGTTCTGTCAAATATGAACATAGATTTGGTTACCTCTACATTTTGGGGCCTAGAAAAGAAGGAGGGAACTCCATGCTGAAGGGAGCCACCATGCCCTGGATTAAGCAATTGTGTCGTGTGTGTAATGAGACATAGCTGGGAGAGGATCACGCCCAGCACACACAGTGAAGTGTGAAGCTGATGTGCAGTGTGCACACACCTGAACTGTCCTGACCCGGGGGACAGTCGAACAGGTTTCCTGAGGGAAGGAGTGAGAGTTGGGACAAATGACGCAGTGTTACAACATGGAGATGACGCAGTGTTACGATTCTTCAGGGTCTTCAGGGTCGTCTGGAGACTATGCGGTGTTACAACTCTTCAGGCTCTTCGGGGTCATCTGGCGATTGTGGGCCAGGAATCGTGGTTATATACATGTTGTTGGGCCGTGATTGGTTGTAAAAGGTGGGTTATGATTGGTTGTAAAAGGTAGGTTAAGATTGGTTGCTTTGTGGACCAATCATGAGGTGCTGGATATGCAAATCTGAGGGATTCTAGTGGCCAATCAGAGTATGGTTTTGAAGGAGAGATATTGAAGGGAAGCCAATCATGGCTTTTGGCATTGTGTAATTGTTTGCTCTTTGAGAAACTGGCGATATTCGCTGGTGCGCAGCCTCCCACACTGAACGTGCATACAGCATATGCACTGCCCCTGCCCTGTTCCCTAAGAGCCAGAAGGTAGTTTGAACCAAACCAGCATTTTCGTCCTGGTCTTCCCACTGACCAGCTGAGGGCTTCAGGCAAATCACTTTGTCTTTCCAGGTTCCAGGGAGCTGAACTAGACAAAGTCCATGTTGCCTAGTCCCACCTTAGCCCACTCCAAGAGCCCATGGGTCCGTGACTTACCACAGAATGGGCCATTTTTGACCACGTTCTTATTTTCATGATCTTGAGAGTCTTGAGCTGGGGAACCCACTAGAGGTCTACAGGAAAGAGGCATTAGAGGAGCTTACATAGCTAAGACCGTGATGACCTGTCACTGAGGTCTTTCTCCTCACAGCCCACATGGAAAAGGATTTCTTATAACCAGAATAGAGCTCATTGTGCTAAGCAAGTTACCAGGAAAGAGAATTCCCCACCAACTCTGCATCGCTGTGCAAGAGCTATCACTCCGTTCCAGGAAATGAAAGTGCCAACCCATTAATCGAGCCCGGACAGATCGCGCCTGTGCTCTCAGACTAAGCACCGCCGTTCATTTCAGTGCTCAATGAACGTGCACATCTCCTCATTACCCATTTCATACAAAAAGCATTTTTTAAGTAGAATTGCTTTTCTCCTTGAACTCTTCCCCAAGGTTGATTAGAGATCCATCTAAGAATGGCTCCTAACTTATTGTGAACCTATTAGTGGAAGCAATAAAAAATACTGAAAAATGACGGCTATTTAAATAGGAAATATTTCTGTAAAATCCCCTGGGGTTGGGGGTTTGGAGAAGTGGATCTGACAATAGTTCTGTTGTGGGTTTCAGACTAACAAGTTTGGCAACAGTGTTTTGTGAGCAGCAGTTAATCAGAGAATCCCATTACTTAATAAGGTTATCACTCTTAGCAAAAGCTGCAAATTACAACTTCTTTCTCTCCAGGCTGAAGATAACATCCTGAAAATTTTGCATGTACAAGTAGTATCATGTTAGCGGAAATGGAGTAAACAGAAACACATTGAAAATGCCACTTGTGTGCAATTTGGGCTGATGTTTTTAGCCAAAAATTTTTGAGTCACATAAGCCT